GACATATTGCAGTGATTGAAATGGTCGTTCACTTAAATTTGTAGCAACCAAATGTTGTCTATGAATATCGCAATGTACAGCAAGGACATCTGGAATTTTATTTTTTAAGTACGCTATGAAGCCTTTATAACCGGAGCGCCATCCGTAGCGACTGATATAATATCTTTCAAGGGAATCTCTTTCTCATCACAAAATTTTTCCAATGTATTGAATATGGTTTCGCCTTTTGTATCGGTCTCTAAATTTTTAGCAAACAATAGTTCTTCACATATTTTCTCATCTTTAATAAACCTTACATAAGACAGCCACAATGCTTCATTAGTTGATAAAGTGGATTCATCGAGTTGAATTGAGAATTGACTAGTCCTCAAATGATTGCACAATGATTCTTCAATGTTTTCAGCCATTTCTTCAATTGGTCTTTGCACAGAATTATTACTCAAAGGAATTTTTCGGATAATATCTGCGGCCGGTTTATGAAGCACAGTAGTTATTACTTCCTTTATTGCTAGCAAAATTAACTCTTCTCCGACGTTGTGTGATTTGCCTTTTTGAGCAATTAACAAAGAGATATTGTATGAAGTTCAAAGTCCGCATCTTCTCTAGGTCTTGAAAATATGCTACATTCTTGTCTTTCCTATCTGGATGCATTTTATTCAAATGACCTTGCAGTCTTGAAGACTTCATTGCTTCATTCGAAAATGTTTTTAGACATAGAAGGCACAAAGGCGACGATGGGTTTGTGGGATTTTTAATGAATCCGATATAATTTAATATATTCCGCACAGTATTGCCGTCACTTCTTTTTTACTTCCGAAATAGTTTTGTTTTGAGAAATACGCAAGTAAGTGTTGAACTTAAGTACTGCTTATCTATTACGCGCGAAACAGCAAATGAAAATAAAATAAATATTACGTTGTTTATATAGGATTGCATAAGCAGCACGCACCGACAGGAATAAGACAAACATGCATAAACTCGTTTATCTCGTTCGACGCTCAATCATACTCAACAAGTAAGAACAAGTATTGTATGAACCAGCCGATTGATACAGGAATGGACAAATCGGGTTATTTAACAAAAACTTGTTAAAACATGATTGCTCGCAGTCTATTGTCGACAAAAATTACCTATCTAGGAATACTAATAACTTTTAAAATGCGAAACTGTGTCTGTTGCCTCGTATTTGTTTGTTTGTGTCTACTTTTATTTCGAAACGGAGCGAGCGATTGACATGATTTTTATTTTATTTATTCAATAAAACAGGACAGATATATGAACTACACGGAGAGATATATCGAACCGAGTTACTTTGAGCAATCTCTTAATTAATATTAGTTGATGTTCACAAGTTGTAGTCGAGAGTCGAGAGCTCAGTCGATGTCTAAGAGTCTTCCTAGATGAAATTACAAATTTCCCCCTAAGTCTCTACACAACGCCCCCATTTTTTTCTGGGTCTCTTACCGCCTCCTTTAGGCCTGCAGCGCCCACAAGGGGGCGTTATCGCCCACTTTGGGAAAGGCTGGTCTAGCATATAGGCCACTGAAATCGTCAAAGATAGGTATTGAACATTGCAAAGATACGGAGATTTTTGGGAATAACGTGGAATGAAAAGTGATCCAAGTAACGCTTTGAACCTTTTTAGGATAGGAAGTTGTTATTGGTTAACCTTTAAGTCATATTTTCCGTTTATTTATAATTTGTCTAGGAATGGCCAGCATTACTTAGGCTGCGAACAGATTGACTGCATGTTTGCAGTTAGTGCCGTTGCAGTCGAGACCTTGAATGCATGAGGTTGATAACGACTTCAGGCATTAACTGCAGGCAGTCGATCTCGGCTGCATGAAGTCGGTTTCGACTGCATGCAGTTGATTCGAGAAGTTGTTATTCAATTGCTCAACAGCATGAAGTTTATAACGATTTCACGCATTAACTGCGTGCAGTTAATACCGATTTCATGCAGCCGAGATCGACTGTATATAGTTGGTGCGTGAAGTCATTATCAACTTCATGCGTTCGAGGTCTTGGTTGCATGAAGTTGATTACGAATAATTTTACACAAACAGCCTTTAAACTTTACCTTATTACTTGTTATTACTTATGGTAGATGCTTGGTACACCAAGACACGCACACTTACACTCCGCATATTAGGCCTGGTACAGCAAGTGAACAGCTAGCTTCAGGTGAAGACTGAAAATCAGGAGTGCTGCGTCTGTAACCTTTATGTCAACATCACTCGATTGTTTTTTGATTCTTCTGTTTTGTGGAGAAATAAATCATTTTATTTTTTTATTTTAATTTCTGCCGCCAAACAGTAAATAATGTCAGTATTACTGCGTTCCGGTTTTGAAGTGGGACTTTTAAATTTGTCTCTGGGTGACGGGCGCAATGGTGGTGAATAAAAAAATATTTGTGATTTAAAGCTTTCGGCACGGCACTGTTATGAACAGACGTGTCGCTTGCCACTGGTTATATAGTTTTTGTATCATTACTTTGTATCATAAAAAGTATCAACTTATTAATTGTTTCTGAAGTCGCAAATTCTATCTAATAAAAACCTGTTGTTTAAGCAATTACATTGAAGGCAATGAAAAATGAAAAAGGTTCGAATAATTTGCAAAGTTAGTTACGCAAAGTATGATTATAATCTGCTAATGTAAAAAGTTTCGACATTTTTACTTGAAAAATGTATATAAGGATATAAACCAGCTCGTCTGGGAAAGATTTTTTGTGGTTTACAAGAGTAAAGATCTCCAAGGACAGTGCACTAGTGGCAGACAAGTTCTTTAGGTCGTTATAAAAAACAGTAATCTTTTTTTCCTTTTCCCTTTATGCTTTCGACAAGTACGCTATGGATTTTAAGTAGGGCGAGTTCTCTTAAGCTTAAGTTTTTGTGCTAAGAGTTAACTTTAAGCCATTCAAGTTAATCTGCGGAGAATTACAGTTTGATCTACAAATGTAGTTTTATTAGTAGCAAAATTTAATAAACTTTCCCTTTGGTATAATCAGAGCTAAAGATCAGGCGCTCGCGTGTTAATAATTATTCAAGGCAGCGACGCGTGCATAACTCTATAGGATTGGCATTGTACATTACTTATTTACTTATTACTGCTTTTTTATATTTCCCTCATTAGTGAGCCTTGTTTAAACATCCTTATTTATAGACTTCTAACAGGCAGGGTAAGGTTTGGTTTACTTTTACTATGATACACAAATTTTCACCGAATTTGAATGCAATGGTTACGTTGAATATAAAGTAGCAGACTTCCTTGTGGAAGGGTTCGTTCAGAAGGCTTAGCATATAGACAAAACTTAAGCGTTTGGAGATATCTTTCTCTTCTCTACCGATTATGTCTCTACTCCGAGCACGATGTAACAAGAAGAGAAACTCTCTATCGTACAAAGTTTTCTCTACTTAGCGATAAATGAGTTGCTGCAACTAAAATTACCTTTAATTTTCATAGCGGTCACACTAAACCGTTAATAGTTTTTATAGGCACAACTTCAACTCCCTTCATTCATTTCCGCCGTGACATTTTTTTAGTGTTCATGGCGTGCATTAAATCAATTAAAATAAAAGGTAACACAAATAACAAAAACTAAAAAACTAAAAAGCTAAAAACTAAAAAGGAAATAGCAAAAAAAAACCGTCTTGTGTTTACTATTTGTCTGTTGTTCTTTCAAATGTTCAAGAAGTTTGTCACCGAAATTTACAAATTCTGGGTAAAAAACGCGTGTCTTCCTTTCCTTCACTTACTTTGAACCTCACAGATATACCTGTGGACGTTTGGGGCGTTAGATCCTCATCTACTTTCTGGCACAAATGATCTATTAATTCCCAGGACATCTTGAACTTATTCATGAACTCGGTCTAAGGGGGATGAAACGGTTCGCAAAATTCACGTATCGTCGTTCTTTGTCCCTTTCGTGCCAGTTTTTCCTCGTAAAAGCTTAATAAATAATTACGATGAGTACGAGACACTTTCATGGCAGAAAATTAGTATTAAATTTAAATAACGAATTAGAAAGATAATTATAGTATTTAAGTTAAAATCATTGCTTGCTTTCTGCCCCAAGGGTAGTAAAGATATCTCGCTCGGGCGATCTCTCAAAAGTGTACAAAATTTGGTTGTGTCGTGCTATGGTTACAGAGAAATCCTCTTCATTTGACATTTGTAACTTAAGCCTTATAGCGCTTATGCTCGCACCCGTCGAGACAGTTAGAGATAATTTGTAATGACGTCAGTTTTGAGAGAAAATTGACAGTTTTTGAAGGGTAAGTAAGGGTGCTGGTGAAAGAAAGAAAAGTATAGATAGATATGTATATAGATTTAAAGCTTGAAAGCTCTTGTGTGAATAGGAGCGTCGTTTACCACTAGGCGCACGACTTGATTGTTCCGTCAGCTGGTATTATAAAAAAAATAAAATAAAGTGCATGTTTCGTGAAGTTATGGAATCACAATTTAGCGATACCAAATAAGTATCTTAGTTAGCTATAAAAATGTTATAAGTCACGTCTTTGAGTAGACAAGCAAAAAAAGTTGTTAAAGTGCCTACTAAAATGGTTTCTAGAACACTAAAGGTGACTGATAGTAAGTTGTGTGAGGTAAGGGTCCGTTTAGGAGGATACTTACTATAAAATATCTAAAAGCACGCCACTAAGTGAAGAGCGTTGTTGGGCAGTATCTTTGGTGAATATTTCAGTCGTTTGCGAACCACGGCCGCGTGCGGTGATTCGTATGCCACGTGACGCAATCAACTTGCGAACGTTTTTTCGTAACTTTGACTAGTACATGTGTTTATTTTTTTATATTTTCTTTGGGATTATAAATGAAGGCGTTAAAGTACGAAAAGAAGAAAATTGTTCAAAGTGTGTCGGATAGTAGTTATGAAATTTGATGTGAAAGTAGAGATTTAAGAACAAAAATTAAATAGACTGTAGATAACTTATGAATACTCGCAGGGAAAGAGTTCTAGAGAGATAATTGTATACTATATAGTACCCGCTTACACAGTGCAGCCGATTAAAAAAGTTAGGTATACTTACTTACATAGTTGAATGTGTGCTTTTTATAAATCTGTAATTACATAAAGATCTCGCTCTTAGGTTAGGATTATCAATAGACTGGAAGAAGCACGTCTGTACAAATAGGGCATGTCTAGTCTAGGCCTAGACATGTGTCGCTCATAGTCCCAGATATAAATTAGGTCTGAGTTTCCCGACCCTACTTACGTAACTATACGCCATTGCAGATTAAATGAATTCTGTTGTCGTGGTGATTTTCGAATAAGTGTAGTTCTACTTAATTATTAGAATTAGTGAATTATGCATTGTGGACAGAATATAATATGATGAACGTTTTTAATGAAAAATATACTGTGATTTACGTGTAAGAAATACTTACGCATTGCGGTACTATATAAGTTTAAAAACTTAATAATAGTTGGTATGACGGCGACGTAGCATTTATAGTGCTAAACTGTTGCAAAATACGATTCAGTGTTGTAATTACTATTCGGGATATAAGTAGGTGACTATAATTCAAGTAAATGTCACAAATTTCCCTGTAAATCATTTCTCAGGTACAACATCCTACACTTGCGAGTGTAGATTTACTTCATTTTACACATGAAAAATGTGTGAAGAAACCCCGGTCCATCTATCTATTTATACTTTAGCACAGTGTGTTAAAGTGCTATCTGCAATAAATCATCAGTCAGTTTACTTTTTGCTTTATTTCAGAAGTTGTACCTACTAAAACTTTTATTCGATTCCATAATCTCCTTTCGAGTTTAGTGTATTCGTAGTCGAATTGCATCTTATTATCTCTAGATACCTATTATAACTTCCTATATACCTGGTATTCATATAATTATAATATTATAAATTGACTATATTTATTGAGATTAAAATTTCTGTATTTCAGGCATACAATGTCTAATATCCTAAAATGTCCATTGTCTCAAAAACACAGTAGTTCAGTTATTATTTAACTTTATGAACAAATTCCAGCGACAACAATGAGCTAAAATTCATTAAAATAACGAACGATGGGAAAAAATCGAAGTTGACAATGTTACTTTGGAAAGTAGAAAGGACTTGAAGTCGGCAGAATGTGCAAGAATGTGAATACAGTGACGTGGGAGTCGGAGACCCTGATGGGGACGCCGAAGACCTCGCGATGGGGGCAGTTGTGTCCACGGGAAGCTCTCTCACATATAGGCCTGTTTGTTGCTCTCATGCTCTACACAGCCGGGGGTGGACTGGTAAGTCTCGATTTTTTGTAGTTTTTGCTGATACTTTGAACAAAGTAGGTATTGTGGTTACTGGTTGCTTGCCAATCGAAAACATCAATGTGCTTTTACCGAAATTTTGTTTGTTACTGCTCATGTCTCTATATTTACCTAGCTATTAATATATAAAACAAGCAGTCTAATGGTTTGAAATACCGCTTTTCAAGCTCCTCTGACTTTTTCGGAATTAATGTGCGAAAGTTAATTTGAAATTTACCATGAGCTTTTCGGCGAACGAAAACATTGCGATGAAACCTGCCGTAGAAGACGATTCATAACCCTCGGAAAACGTATGTTTATGTATAAATAGGTGGATGATAATGAAATAATACATTAAAGAAAGACTTTTTCCTAGGAGTTTTTAGAAATACAAAGACCACAAAAAATATTTTTCTTATCTACTTGGTGTTGCTCAAGTTCAGCAGTCAAAGGAAACTAAACGCACCGGCACAGGTACCATTGGTAAAATCTTATTCATTTTTAGGTTCGCTTTTTTTGTCTAATTGTTAATATCCATAATACGTTTATAATTAAAGGCTTCATGATAATTTTATTGAAAAAAATAAGTATTTCCGCTTATATGTATGTATGTTAGCCCAAACAACGTCACAAGTTCATTTGCTACCCTACATGAGAGTTTTCTGCGTTTGATTATTTACCCTATATACGCAAATACTAATTTATTGGTCCGATACATTATCATTATAGGTGAAAGGGTCTTCGCTGTCATACCTACGCATCCATGAATTTCATTTATAGAATATACGTACTTTATCTTGGTTTTTTCCCCCACTAAGTTCCTGAATTTAATAAACCTTACCCTATATTGCGTAATTTCGAGCTGTCGGTGATTGTGTAGCCAACTACTACGTACCGGGTGGTTTATGAACCCGAAAATAGTTACAAACAAAACCTTAACACTGTTCTATGTTTAAATAGTACCAAAATTTTCTCACCCTTCCGTCTTAAGGCGAGATCACCGTGGTATTTCAACGGGAGCCACATTTTAGGAGGTAAGGTCGTGCCGTAAGGGGTGCCGCCACTTGCGTCCCGCAACCCGCTCGCTTAAAATTAATACGAATAAAATAAAAACAGGCAGAAAAATTGACGCTGATCCGACGTCGAGAAGCACCCGATGGCGAATGACGGGGCAGCGGGCGGCGCGGCGAGTTCTAATCCTAAATCGCTGGGCAATTTTCAAATTTTGAGATAAATATGAATTTCATAACTTTATGGCTTCAGTTGAAAACCAAAAGTAGTATTTAAAGATAAATATCTCCATATAGAAATCATGTGCAAAATTAAGAATTAATCATTCAAAATCAAAAATTAATCTTAAAACATTTAGTTATTTTAGCCTGTTTTGCAGATGATTAGGTAAAGTATATCCCATCGTGTAACAAATTAGCACATTCTTTAGACAATATCCTTAGGTGTATCGTGTATTTTTGTAAGATCGTTAATAGTAAATACGGAAACCATTTGATCTAGCAAAATATGTTTTTTAGCCGCTTCCCCTCCGGTGAAACGCAACAAATTTTAGCATAAAGCACATTAAGCTATGTGTATAAGCAACGCGTATGGGGAGCAAAAATGGTAAAACCTCACAATTTTATACAACGCGGCAGATATCAACTTCATTTCAGGGTTTTGACAAGTTTGAATATGACTTTACCTCACTTTGAGTAGGATAACATTAATCGTAACATGCACTATAAAATTACGTCGTAGGTTTAAAATCAGTATTATATTTAAGCATTACATAACATTAAACTCATCATCATAACATTTTACTTAAACATGAAAATAAAACAAATTTCTTAATCACTAAAAAAATCCTATCCTTACTTCCATTAAAATCTTATGGGTTGCTCTCGTGTATAAGCATTATTAATTAGAAGTCTACAAATTCCTCTTCATATAGGCATACAGGGCTTTCTTTAATTTTCTCTTCGTCGAAAATGTCGAAGTTTGCCGTGTCTCCGGCGGAACGAATTTTAGGTATAAACGGAGGATGTATTCGACTGTTCAGTAGCATGTCCCAGTCAACTTCTTTGAACCATTTGTGATTTTTAAAGTTCATTACACCCTCCTTTAAGTTTCCGTAACGCTTTGTGACATCAACTTGAAGGATGTGACCAACTAAATCTTTCAAGTCAGACGTGAAATGCCCCGGGCATCTATATTTGCCAGCTACAATTTTTTCATAAATTCTCATGGGGTCTGAAGCGAAAAACGGTGGGTGGCCAGCATTCATTTCAAAAATTAATATACCCAACGACCACCAGTCTACAGACATTCCGTAGCCTTTACTCAAAATGATCTCCGGTGCTAGATATTCTGGAGTTCCACAAAGAGTCCAGGTTCTACCACGGATCAATTTGCAAAAACCAAAATCTGTAATTTTAATGTAGCCAGTACGATCTATAAGAATGTTCTCTGGCTTTAAATCGCGATAAACTAACTCGCAAGCATGAAGGTACTCGAGTGCGAGAACAACTTGAGCCCCATAGAATTTTGCAGAGCTTTCTTCGAATTTGCCCATTCTGCGTAGATGAGAAAACATCTCGCCGCCAGCAATAAATGGCAAAATAAAGTACAAATAAACGTTGTCTTTGAAAAAATATTTCATATAAACTACGAATGGAAAATTAAGACCACAAAGAATTTTTTTCTCGTAGTAGCTATGTTCGATTTGTTTTAACTTGACAATTTTCTCTTTTTCCAACATTTTCATTGCATAAAATTTACCACTGTCTAGATGTTTCGCTAAGTACACTATGCCGAAGGCTCCTGTTCCGAGTACTTTTTGTCTTTCAAAATCAGTCAGTTTAGCGTTGCTTTCAGATTTTTCATTCCAAATTTCTATAAAATCTTGGCGCAGCTTTTTTAAATATTGAGAATATTGTTCTTGCTTACGTGCTGAGTACCCACCTTCTTCAGCCATATTAGCACTAATCATGACTTGAATCTCAGGACAGCCTGATATTTACTAATGTTCCAGATTTTGTTTTTAAGAAACTCTTTGTATTCTTTTCTATTTTATTTTGTTATATTATTAGCAAGAAATGGAATTGGAAACTACTAAAAGAGAAAATCAGGCAAAATCAGTACGTATAAATTAACAAGCAAATCGTTTTGTCATAGCATATCTTTATTTTTTTTCCATCATACACAGAACATTTGAATTTCTGCGCATTTTATATTATTTTTGTAGAGATGAGCAAAGAGAATATACACAACATTTAGTGGAAAGAGAAGGTTATGCATAAACCTTAGAGGATGGAAAGTCTAAGGCATAAACTAGAACAGGTTCGGGCAGCTCATTATTTGCGAAATGTATGAAAAATTTCAAACACCATGGCAAACCCGGTTGCGGGATTACTCCAATCTATATACGATACGGCTAAGTATATTATGCTTATGTTTCCATATTTGGATTTTAAGTGGATTTCGACGTTTTGTGTACTTATGGATATATCTTGCAACATTTACATAAGTTTTATATATATATATATAAGTTATAGTTTATGGTTATATATAGAGGATGGAAAATTGGTTTCCTTAATCTAAGATGTTTTAAGATCACATAGAACTGACATATATGGCGCTATTATCGATTCCGTAGTATGTTCTCAGATTTCTAGCGAAAATGTTATTAACGTAGTGATAATGATATGGTTTTTTATTATAATAACAGTTGTTTTCATTTCTATTCGTATTGGAGAGTTGTTTAAATACTTTAACATTTAAATGCAGGTTTTAAAACTGAATTTAGGCTATGGAAAATACGCGTTACACAAGTCAAGTTCATCTAGATAATTTGCATTATTTAGATTTGAGCAAAGAGCAGTTTCAAATAAAGTTTAATAATAATCGATGCCTAATAGAAAAACGCTCAGAAGATTACGATCGAATCCAAGTCATTGGAAGTGGAGCGTTTGGAGAAGTGTATCTTGCAAGAGATAAAAGCGCTTGTACTTACCACGCCTTGAAAGTTGTTGAAAAAAGTATAGCAGTTGAAAGGAAACACGTTAATCAGTTAATAACGGAGAAGAGAATCTTACAAAGTATTGAACATCCTTTTTTAATATCATTAGAAGCAGCTTTCAAAGACAATGTTTACTTATACTTTGTTTTATCTTTTATTAACGGAGGGGAACTGTTTACATACATTCATAAGTTTGGTGGCCTTTCTGAAAGTTTGGGAAAATTTTATGCGGCACAAATTGTTCTTGCACTAGAATATTTGCATCATTGTTGTGTAATCCACAGAGACATAAAACCGGAAAATGTTTTGATCAATTGGAATGGTTACTTACTATTGTGTGACTTTGGGTTTTGTAAGCTTATAAAGAATAGAACTTGGTCTCTTTGTGGTACACCAGAATATCTTGCACCAGAAATTATTCAGTCGGTGGGTTACGGTTTTGCAGTAGATTGGTGGGCTTTGGGTGTATTAATTTTTGAAATGTGTTCAGGGTTTCCTCCGTTTATGGCTTCAAATCCAAATAGACTTTATGAGAAAATCGTACAAGGAAATTATAAATTTCCGGAAACCTTAAGTGGTGATTTGAAAAATTTGCTTAAAGGTTTCCTACAATTAGACCCAAATAAGAGGTTGGGTTCATTGGCAACAGGTGCATATGACATAAAAAGTCATACGTGGTTCAGGGATATCGACTGGCTATTGTTACTACAGCAAAAAGTGGTGGCACCCTATACCCCGATTTGTGCTTCTCCCGGTGACACGAGCAACTTTCCGGATATTGAACAGCACACTTTAAAAAAAGCGTCAACATGTCTTTACGAAGATGAATTTCTAGACTTTTAAATTGCGACGACAAATATTATGAACAAGGTGTTCAAAGAGTTTAATGGTGTTAGTCTTGAATACTTCAAGCAAAGTATATAATGATTTTGATGGTATTTGCCCACCCTCGCTGTATTTGTGCAGTGTGGTTTTTTTATTACATTTTTCTATACAGTTAGACTAAATCATATTTTTTTAATAAGTTTACAGGGTTTTGTGTAGTATTAAAAAGTATTAAAATATATATATTTTTATCTTTTCTTAGTCTAATTATTGTAGTAGATTAAAGTTATCCTATGATGGCAATTTCTATGGTTTTTTCGCCTAAGACAAATGTATATAGAATCAGTAGAGCTCCTTGTGAAAGAGTTTGTCCAGGAAAGTACTGAAGTACTGCTACCTTAGCTATTTGTGCCGTATAATGTAAGCATCACTGTGTTCCGGTTTTAAAGGTTTAAGGGTGCTGATGAAATTACAGGCACATGGGACTTGACTTACGTCTCAGGGTAACCGGCGCAGTGCCCTCAGACCTTTGCGATCTAAAGATCTACATAAATGTCACAAACCACCAGATGCACAACTTGCTCGACCCGTCACTTGGTCATCATCATCAACCCGTTCATACGTCCTACTGCTAGGTACGGGTTTCCTCTCAGGCTACGAATTTGGCCATAGTCCGCCACGCTGCCTGACCCAATGCGGGTTGGTTACTCCATACGTTTTGTAAGGATTGTGAACTTTCTCTGATGCGCAGGTTTCATCTCGATGTTTTCTTTCACCGAAAAGCTCATGGTAAGTTTCAAATTCAATTTCGAACATAAATTACGAGTAATTCAGAGGCCTGGATTCGAAACCACGGCCTCTGCTTGAGAGGTAGAAGGTCAAACCATTAGGCTACCACAGCTTCTTGAAATATATTTTGCCGATGCAGATACAGGTAAGTGGTCAAAGTAAAGTAATGTATACGAAACCGAACATGATGATCAAACACTCAAAGTTGATCGTGTAAAATTATTTTAAGATTTGGACGTACATACTGCATGACAGATCTGCAAACATAGTCCCAAGTGATTAATTATTATATATTTATTTATAATTTCTTAATACGAATTTCTTTTAAGTTTGAGTACATCACAATTCGAAAAGAAGGACGGCGAAAGCTGCCCGAATAACGACGAAGAGCTATTCATGGGCTTTGCTATTATAATTTTGCGTTTTAGTTTATGCCTATTTATCAAAATATTTTTAGAAATGGGGAATAATAAAATTGTAAAAACATTGTATTTTAGAATAGATGCAAGAACACAACGCAATTGATTCAGTTCGACGATAGATAGGTAACGTTCTTGTACGTACATTTCATTTTAAGCTTGATTGAATGTTTACCTGCCTGAAGTATTGGTTATTTTATAGTACATACATAAAAGCTATAAAATACTTAATGAAATAATCAACAAACAGTAATGACATAGAGTAAAAAATAAAACACAATGTGACAAAAATATTTAGGCAATATTTAAATGAGATAATGAAGTTGCAAAGGAACGTTACGACAAGAGACCTCTTGCCAATGTCAATGTCACTTTGATATTGAAAATAGTGTAATCACGTGTGGGTTATTTCTGCCATTTGGGCAGATTTAATTTTTATTCATTTTTATTCCTGCAGGCACCAGTCAGCCTTTCAAAGAGAATTTCAATTTTGAATCTTAGTTATTTGTATAGAGACAAAAAATTTACCACACTGTTCGAATAATCACTTGTTATAGTTTTAGTATTAATAATGTAATAAATAAAAATCTTTTGTACTGATATTTCAATATATTCAGGTTTAAAGAAAAAAAATTACACTTTTTCCCTGTGGTCAGCCTCTAAAATCCAATAAACGGCCCGTGTACCCTGTACTCAGCCTTAACACTTATCAGTAATAATGAGATCAAAATCAACAATAATTATATGTGATAATCAATAACATAATATTTGTACTTAGTTCTTACTCCGTATAGCTAAACCTACTCATGATAAAAATTGGTATACATCCATCTTAGCAAAAAAAGTACTTATCAAATTATAGTTTACAAGTAAAGTACTTATCAAATTGCTTTCATTGATTATAAATCAATCACTTTAATAGCATATATGTTCACATAGTTCTTTTTCAAATGTATATGTAATCATCCTTAGCACTACTAAGCAGCAGTGCTAATATCATCATATTAGAAACATGATGAAATTATGAAATACCATCGTATTTAATAATTTCATTTCAAAAACATGATGAAATTATTAAATACGATGGTATTTCATAATTTCATCATGTTTCTGTCGTTTATTATGGAGATTTTTTTGTTCCTAGTTCTCATTGGTGGTTTTCTTAGAACAAAATCTTTCGTTACAGTATGTTTATTCGTACTAGAGGAGGGTGCTGGTAATGAAGCAACATTTTCTTTGTTAGAGATATGGATACTCTGAACAGATATTTTGAACTTGCGATTTCTTGGCGCACCGTCTTTTATTTGAATTGCTGCCGGTAATGCTAGTGAGAACAAAGGTCTTGTTAGACAAATCTGAAGAATCTTTCAAGAAATCTATTTTTCTGTTCTTGGTACTTCTTTTACTGACCGTACTGGTTTCTTTTTGCCTTCGTTTGTTAGCAGCTTTTTCTATTTTTTCTAGCTTTTACGTTTCCCGTTTTAATTTTCTGTCCAGGATATCTGCTTTCCCCTTTTCTTTTTCTTCTTCTTTTTTTTTCAAAATGTCGCCAGTCTTTGGAAGAAATGGCTCCAATTCGATTCAGGATTAAAAAGTCTTTCGAGTCGTGAAAGCACTTCCTTATTTCTTCTTTATTCTTCAGCAACTACCGCTCTCCCATTAGACGTACGTTCTGCCGATCGTATAGATAACGATTTATTTTTTCGAAAAAAAAAACATTTCAGCCATTTCTTGCCTGGTCTATTGTTAGTGAAAGGTTTGGGTCTTCCATAGGTGTGCTTGCACCATATTTAATAAGTTATCAGCACATGTATTAACGAGTTTTGTTTTTGCTCCTCTTACTCTCTCTCCGACCTCTTACCGCAATAATCCCGTAATGTATTAACCAATGAGGAATCAAAGTTTAATTTTATCAACTTGCGATTTGTTAATTCAAAAAAGACCAGTATTTATAAGCAATTAAAGACGCAAAAGGCTGACTATAGGATCCTGCCGGCCACTGGTGCTCTTACCCTATATCCATAAACTGACCTATGATGAAACGGAGAACATAAGTTTTATACAGTAGTTTTTTCTCTTTTAACCACCACGCACTCCCACACACATTCAATCATTTCCATTCTACTCACAGGGAGGTCACTACTCACATGTCTAATTATAAGTACATTGTAAGTAACTGTTAATTTAAACTCAAAATTCCAAGGCTTACTTTAAAAGACAATGTTTTTTAAATCAGTCACATGTTCTTTTTTTTCTTATTTCTCTTGATTTTTCGCGGTAAGCATTTTAGCCACTTATAAAGTGTTTTGACTAACTTGTTTTTAAAACGGGGAAACTTTTATAATATCATGGAATGTAATTGGAAACGGGATTTGAAAGTTGGAGAAAAAGTGAAAAAGGGATCAGGCGAGGAATTATGAGATGTAAATAAATATGGTATAAATATAGAATAAATATTATATTATTATTACAGCTGTTAAATTTTTGTATTATTTTCTAAAATAAATTTATATAAATAAGTATGTATAGAAGAGTTATTGGACAACAACAAAAGGTAGATGGAAGTCGGAAGAGGCACATTGGATTGAATAAGATTCTGGATAAGAGAAGAACGAACAAATTTTGGGTAATTTAAAAAAATGTGATTTAAATCGCCAACTTCACTGTTCTTGTATTCACGGAAAAGCGCTGATGTGTGAAATACAGATAATTAATTATGTAATTCAGACACAGATATCTTGCCTTAAATGCAACATTGCATGCTTAACACTCTCAATATCAAATTTGTCTGTAAGTTTATGAAATAAAGAAAATTTATGATTTTTTTTCATCCTCTAAGTATTTTAGGGCTAGAGTCCTTAGACTTTTTTCCATCCTCTAAGCTCTCGTCTCTCCCAAGGCCTAAAAGAGAATTTATTTTTTCAGCCATTCGTTTCAGCCATGTACGTTATTAAGTATTTCGAATTATTCTTGAAACGGGGAAACCTAGTAATGAAATTTGGAAACAGTATTGGGACAGTGGGGAAAGAGAGAAAAAGGGATCACGCGAGGATCTATGAGATGTAAATAAACGTTTAGTATAAATTTTAATATAGAATAAATATTATTATTGCGACAGCCAGAGCTCTTTTATATTAAAAAGAAACAAAACCTTGACTTTTTTAAAGTGGCGAATTGGTATCGAATAAAAACATTCAAAAAGTTTCTTTAGCATTGTTTTTTAAATACGATAACGGCATTTAAAGATACCCCCAATAATCTTATCTACTTTTTATTATCTACGTTTTTTCAAGATGTCAAAGTGACAGGAAAACACAAAACTTTGTAGAGTACGTATCTTATAATTTTAAATATATAAATCACTCGAATCAGACAAAGCTTATTAGCGATGTTAACGATGACGTATATTGTCGAGTTCGTAATTTTGATATTATATTAAATTATTATTTTTTGGAGTATGAATGAAAGAATAAAAATCATTGCTGTCGTTATTGGCAAAGTTACCATTGCCTTTATTCATGTTTCACCAAACATCGGCAGACCGAGCATTCAATTACTCTTACGAGATACAACGGGACCACGTGCGAAAGTTGGATAAACTAAAGGAGGAATTCTTAGCGATGTACTCAAACCCTGTTATTACTACTAAAAATGCAGAAGATTACGAAATACTGAAAACTTTGGGAAAAGGCGGGTGTTCAACAATTTTTCTAGCTCGAGATAAAATAACCTTTGAAATACTTACAATAAAAGCAATAGAGAAAGAAGAAATAGTTGAAAAGAAACATATCAAACAGATATTGTTTGAAAAAAAGATTTTGCAAAGTGTTAATTTTCCATTTATTACCACTATGACAGCAGGTTTTACAGATAATGTGTATGTGTATTTTGTAATACCCTTTGAATCTGGGGGTGAACTTTTTACTTTAATTCGAAAGTCAAGGTCACTATCAGAAACGCTGGCAAAATTTTATGCAGGACAAGTGGTTTTAGGTGTAGAATATCTTCATCATTGTTCTGTAATTCACAGGGATATAAAGCCAGAAAACATCTTCATAAGTAGAGAAGGTTACTTAAAATTAGGTGATTTTGGATTCAGCAAGATAATTGAATCTAGAACATGGACTTTGTGTGGAACTCCAGAATATTTAGCTCCAGAAATAATTCTATCAAAAGGCTATTCGTTCGCCATAGATTGGTGGGCAACGGGAGTTCTCATTTATGAAATGACTTGTGGTTATACACCATTTTATTCAAGTAGTAAAGAAAAACAATATGATAGAATTATAAGTGGTTCATACAAAATACCGGATGAAGTGAATCCGGCATGTAAAGCATTGATAAGGAGTTTATTGGTTGTAGACCCAACGAAACGATATGGATCTCTCAAAGATGGAGTATATGACATAAAAAATGCCAAATGGTTTAGTGATATAGACTGGTCTGCGTTACTTAATAGAAAAATCCAACCACCTTTTGTCCCAGAAGTACAAAATGAGGGAGACGCTGAGAATTTTCCGGAATGCGAAGACGTGAGGTTAAAAAAGCGTTCAATGTGTCTTTATGAAAATGAATTTGCAGAGTTTTAGCTGAAATTTTGTGTACGTAGGAGATAACTGTGTAGGTATTTAGGTTAATTACATTTGTTTCTTCTATTAAGTATTTTTAGTATTATTATACAATATTTTATACAAATAAAATATACAACACCTGATCAATAATTTAATTCCGAAATTGTCCTTGTTATAAAACTATAATACCTTCGTATCGAGTCCGATCTCGCGCGATACTTAAAAACTTTTCAAGAACAAGAATTTTCAGTCAGTTATTTTTATTATTTAACTTTTATTTACAACTGTGTGCATTTTTAATAACTATTGCTGAGGTGAATTAAATTTTAGCTGAAATTTTGGACAGCAGAGTTAAGTAAATAATTGCTTTGACCGAACGTTGGAATGTAAACAGTGATACGTCGATTCTCCGAAAGAAAATAATCGTTTATTTTCATCTGTTCATAGTAACATTTTGAGAAAATATAGTTATACATGAAATAAATATATATTAGTGACTAAACTTAATATTAAAAGTGTTATTTATTCGAAGAAAAATTTAATTAAAAAAAAATCATCTGCCGCATGACTCAGTAACGGTGACTGCTTGCATATACCACTTAAGGCGTTAACGCAAGCGCCTTAAGATTTACTATTGCTTGCGCACGCTCACAGCTCATTAGTGATGTAGTCATTGCTAAGCGCGCCATACACTACGCATTTATAGAAGCGCCACTTCGTCGTACGGTGCTTTGTGTCTCTGACCTCTGACAGAATTTATGTTGACAATAAAAAATGTTAAAAGCGATTCTGAGTTGTTGTAATATGAAGATTAGTAAAGAGGAGGGTTTTATTAATGGTAATATATGTAAAAAAATGTTTCATTGCGCTTGCATTTCACTTAATAATAATCTGCCTACTGCTGAATCGCGTGATATGTGGAACTGCCCTGAATGTGTATCTAAATAAACAAGGTCTAAGAAAAACGATAATACACCTATACGCAATGTTAGTAGCAACAAAGGTAACAAAAGACCAGCTCTAAAGTGTCCATCTGTTGGCAGTTCACGGGCGTCCTTATCTCGTGATGATAGTAGAGAAATTTTGGAGGTTATGTCAAAGACATAGACGATAATAGTGTCAAACTGCGCAAAAATATGTCAAGTATTTTAGATGAGCAATTGAAACCCTGAATTTTATAAGCAGCCAAACCAATGAATTTTATTAGCAGCCAATATGAAGACCTGAAAAAGGTTCATGACGTCTCTCAATCAAAAATTACGGAACTTGAGAAACATAATGTTGGATTGAAAACTACTGTGGAGAATCTTAATCTCCGTATTAACCAAATTGAACAACAATCTTGCAAAAGCAATGTGGAACTGCAATGTGGTCCCGAAAACAAGAATGAAAATATAATGAAAATTATTCAGGAGCTTGGGAAGACGATCGGTTGCATACTCAATGACAACGATGTTCTGAATTAACGCGCACGGCGAAGGTGAACCGTGCAAGTACACGGCCTCGATCCAGTGTAGTGCAGCTGGCTTCTGTAAGGTTACGAGATCAACTTTTCGCATCGACAATTCGATTTAACAAGGTAAATCCTCAAAATAAGCTGAACAGTTCACATCTAGGACAGCCTGGCGACTGCATTCCAATATTCATAACAGAACATTTGTCTTCATTCAATAAAACATTACATGCGGTAGACCGACGCGCAGCTAAAGACAAAGGGTACATACAAGTATATATGGATTAGATTAGACGCCGTAAAATTTTCCTTAGAAAAAGCGACGATGCCGAATATGTACTTGTAAAGAATATGGACACGTTAAACGACATCAAGTGATTTAGTTTCTAAGTTTTACTTGTTTGGGTGATTGTATGCTTTGTAATATTTTAGTAAAAGAGCTAAGCCAACGAAATATATATTATCAAAATATACGAGAAGTTCTCGTCGAGAACTAACAATGAAAACACAAAATTTTTATTGTCATGTGCTATGTGACCTATGGTGTCACTGTTCTTACCGAGACAAACCTGTTGAATAGTTCTGTTAGTAGCAGTGAGCTAGTTGATAATAGGTACGTCGTATGTAGAAAGGATAGATCAAGGACTGAATTTTGTTCTAAAAAAGACATGGGTGGAGTTTTAATAGCCGTATCCAAGCTATTTCAATCTAAACGAATGATTAACAGGGAGACTAGTCTGGGAGACATGTGGGTAGTTATTGAATGTCCATTCTTAAAGACTTTCAGTCAAATATCACTATGTGCATGTATCTTCCATCACCTATAAGTAAACGTGTACAAGATTTTTTTTTTAAACTATACCACGGTTATGGAATATTCAACTAACAATTGTATTCTTGGAGACACCAACTAAGTATGGACTGGTGTTTGTTGGAGGTTTTAATAGACAAATTCCGTACTTTGTGCCAATTCTTGATAGATTTCACTCTATTAAATAGATAGAAACAACACAGTAATATACTAAATACCTTTAAGAGAATACTTGATTTGGTGTTAACCAATCTTCCTAAGCATTGTAAGATCTTCTCATAATACATTTAGTATAGTGGATCAGTTTCAGCCTCCTTATGATATTGTTATCCCTTTAACGGATGTGATAATGCTCTCATGCAGAATTGAGTCCGGGAAACTTAACTTTTGGAAGGCAGATTATAGAAAAATCTGAAAAGAGCTAATGAAGTGCGGCTGGACTGTTCTGTTCGATAATGTTAATTATGTGAATGTTATGTTACATGTTTTCTATGATAAAGTCCGCACTATTATAAATACATTCGTACCTAAAAAAGGTTAGGAATAAATCATATCCGCCGTGGTTTGATCATAGATTATACCATATAACCATATTGTTATTTGTCAAAACTGTAAATGTTAATTTTGTAAATTTTAGTTAAACAGTTATATTTTAGTGCATGTTGTTTACCTTTAAGTGTTTGTGGCAATTACATCACCTGTAAAGGCATGATAAGATATAATAAGTAATATTGTACATAAACGTTCTTAAACGTAATAAACAAATACCTTTACGTAGCGGATTAAATGTGGAAATTTTTATTTCGTGTACATATTAAGTTACTGATATTCCAAATGTCTAAAATAACATTCGTTAATATCAATGAAAATTATAATTTAATCTGTACGATAAGTACAATCAACAGCACTTTGCTAGAACTTTCGCATCAAGTTACTATTAGCTAAAACAACTTTTTAGTCTATAAAACTACAAGGAATAAACTTTTACATCGATTAATTAATTAATTTAGTATCCTATGTAAGTTTTCCCTAAATTAATTATGTTAAATTAAATGAAACTGTGCTTTTCGGATCTAAATCGAAATAAACAGAAGGAAAATCTAAATTAAAATAAGACATAACTGGTTGATGACTACCACCTTAGTCGGCCGTGATCATGGGACCTGTAAAGAGCCCGAAACGTTGGTTTGTTTGAGAAAAAACAAAATACGCGATTTAGATTTAGATCCGAAAAACTAGTTTAATTTGTTATGTGTAAACAGTCGCGAAAACCTAAGATTTCGATGTTAATTATGTTATTTCACAGGTGTTTCGTGCCTTGGAATATCCAGCTGAAATGGCGAAGAAGGAATTCCACAAGGAGCGTCTAATAGAGGAACGATGGAATTTGATAAATTTAGTATCAGACAACAACTTGAACTTCACACAGTGGCTTCAACAGTTGGAGTATTACGAAAAGGTACATTTTAAGTTTTAGCTGTAGATAAATTAAATCTGCTTTGTATTAAATTTAATAAATTGAAGTGCTTACAATGTTTAAATTAACAGTATCCAATCTATTTTTATACAGGTACTGGCAGATGCAACGTCTAATGGTATATCACCAGAGGTAGCAAGAAACGCTAGCACATCGGTGGAAGAAAAATGGAGCATTCTGCAAGCAGTTTTCTTTTCATCTACAGTGCTCACCACTATAGGTGTGTAAGAACATGTAAGCATACATCACATTTTAAGGCTACAATGATGCAAAATCAGTAGTAATTTTAAACTTTATGGTAACGGTAAACTTTTTTTATATCCCTACGATTGCACTGATAATAGACGCAGCGACGCTGTAACGTTGGTAGTCACGAACTAAGTAGACTTTGCGTAAGTAAATTCATCTAATAAGGCTAATTACTACGTTTTCCCTAATGAATCATATTTTCAGGTTACGGGAACATAGTCCCTGAAACTTTTTGGGGACGACTGTTTTGTATCGTATACGCTTTGGTTGGCATCCCGTTAACGCTTACGGTCATCGCCGATTTGGGTAGAGTCTTTGCCACTGTCGTTTCGGTGACCGCCAAGCATCTACCTGAAATGCCCAGTAAGTTCAATATTTTTATATTATTAAGGAGCACGCACACTTCATACTAGCTGTTCTATTATAATATATGGTCGCCGTGTGTACATGTATTCAATCGAAATAGAAAGATTTAATTTTATAAACTGTAGGTATTCGACGCAATATCTTATGTAATTTGGGCATTCGACGACAAAGTCGCGGGTACGATTTCCGCTACTCTGGTAGACATACATATATGGTACCGAAAATTCCCTAGTTTGAGACCAGTTAATTTGGTGTGGTTGTCTGCCACATTATTATTATTACTCTTCTGTACGCGATTTCAAGACTAGTAATCAGTAACATTGTTTCAGAATGTTGCAGCAGAGTTGCAGAAGCAAATCCAACAAGTCAAAGATCCTTATACGCTTTGTGGGCAGTGGGCTTTTTGTTTGTATACCTTGCTGCCGGAGCTGGTCTCTTCAAGATGTGGGAAAATGATTGGACTTTCTACGATGGATTCTACTTTTGCTTCATCACTATGACCACTATTGGATTTGGTGACCTTGTACCAAGTAATAAATTTCAATACCTTACATTAAAATATTTTTAGCTTTGTAACTAAAAGTAAGTTTGGGAAATTTTGTTTTGAAATGTTAGCTGTTTGTATAATAATAACCAACACAGCAAACCCTAATACATATATATAATTGCAAAGCAATGAGATCAATATTCACTATTGGAGTCATATCTCTGGTCGCTGACTTGACATTTCTCGTCAGTTGTCAATACGAACCAGTATTCTGCCAGTACACAGACATTATATCTAGATAGACGCCGTAAGTGTACGCATTTCTCGTGCCCAAAGTAAGTGAAATTCACTTACTTGCCGCTGCTACACTTGAGAACGCGCTCGACAGTTATCGTAGATACACCAGACAAAACCGCGAAAAATGCATAATTGTGCCATTACAAAGTGCAAAAGCACCATAACTGTGGTAAACGGGTAAACAGGGACGTTTCCTTCCACGGACAAGTGATTTTATAATCAGAAGATGAATAATTTATTTTAAAAACATTTTTTTTGGTTTTGTATGAATTTCGAGAAAACAAATGTGCAACAGAGCATATGCCTCACGATTTGTAATGCATTGCGGCTTTTACTTAGTGCGAGATATTGGTGATCCTATGATAATACGTCATGAATAGCGAACGAACGCACTTTTGTATAATGCATTCAGTTTCGTGGTACGGCCGCTTGTACATTTCTTTGGCCAAATTTAACATGTAGTGATGTATATATTAGGCAACACTGTTCTCGATTCTGATCGATTTTGAAAACAAAGGGATGAAAATTATTATGACCTTAGCAATATTATAAAAATATTCTATAACTCTTTTGTTATAACGTTCAGTAACGTTTGGTTTTTTTTTCAGTTTTGTGGTATCTATTGTCAGTAGTATCTGTAATTTCGACAATTTTTGCAACACGTTGCCTCGAATGTCCGAATATAGTGAGCAAATAATTACATGCATCGCCGCATGCGTATGCATATGTAGTACGAGTACCTAATGCAAAAAAATATATACTGCAAAGAATTAACAGTGCGCTGTCTTTACAAAAACCTGGAGTTGGTCAAACGTATGAGTTCGTTGCTATCGAGGACAAACGTGGTCTAGTTTATCCCACCTGAGATGCTACAGATATGCAGAGTAGCAGAATTAGAAATCCGAGAAATATTAAATAATTCACAAAAATTTCACACGAGGCCGTTATTAAGTAAAGCTCTTCTGATTAATAAGAGTTTACCATATTTTGTCAGCAGTAATATTTTCATTCGTCTTGCCATTCATCAATTTGATCAATTACCAACAGGAAATCATCTAGTAAAAATAATTAAGGCAGTCGCAAGATCGTATATTGACGTGCGTTTTCATTATTTAAGTTAATCGATAAGATCTTCTATTACAAAAAGATGTTATATAATAAGCTCATTTTATTGGAAGGACAATAATTTTAATTTTTGAAGTCGATTAAAAATTAACGTTTTAATTTTTTTTAAGTAATCAACATTTTTTTAAAACAATAAAATAAATAATCTTATTCTAGTATTTTTCTATTATATTAATATTACGACTACTTATAATCAACAAATACTTGAACAAAAATTTAGAATCGATTAATTGAATGGAATACGCGTGTTTACGCGGATTCTGTTCAATCAATCGATTTAGAGCGACCGGAACAAGGTTTCGTGCACTACATAGTTCTTGTGACGTCATAATGGGTACAAAAACTGTGGCACGCTTCGTTTTCATACAAATTGCTGTACTTGCGGCGTCCATCTAGATATATGTCTGTGTGCCAATATTATACATTGTTTGTCGGGTCAGGGGTGTAGGCACATGAGTAAAGAAAGGGCAGTGTAGGCTCACGCCTAATTATTTATCGGCAATGGACATTTAAATACATATATCGTGTTAACCGTAATGTGTGCCCCAGGAATTTTATTTTACCTACGTTTTGTAAATGACGATTGGATAATGTGCGAAAATCGGTACGGGATACATTTTTTGTATCATTAATTGTAAGTTTAACTTAGAATAAAAATGCACGATATAACGAATATTTTTTTCCAGAGAAACCCAAATATATGTTGCTATGCACGCTCTACATCCTTATTGGATTGGCGTTAACATCAACAATCATTGAGCTTGTGCGGCGGCAATACGCAAGATCTTGGCAGCAACTTCGAGCACTCTCAGGTCCCTTGGCTGAGACCCTGAAGAGACTGGGAGACGCTGGACGGGGGGTCGATGTGTCTGCTTTGCACAATGATCTTCGAAAAGTGCTAACAGTGGTACGTATGCTTTTACTTTTATATTTTGAATGTGTATTGTCTTAAATTTACTGAGATAGCTGAAATCGCAGTCTTGGTACCAAAATCAAAATAATCTTTATTTCATAGGTAAGCATATTACACTTGAAATCGTCACATAGGTAAAACTCTACCGTTCATTCATAAGACAAATTCCCCTGAGAAGAATGAGCAAGAAGCTCTAGGGGTTGCTCCTTGTAAATAAACATTTGCACATATTTATAATTAACATAATATATGTTTATATATTTTTTCAAATCATTCAAACATAGGATCTATGGTGTTTGAAAAAATCCTACCTTCAAGAGCTAAAAGGGTTACTACCACGGATTTTCGTCATCCAAGAACGCAGAAGTTGTATAATAACCTTTAGTATAAAGTTTTTGTTTCACTATAGTTTTAAACCTCGTGAATGGCAGATTTTGTATATGAACCGGAATCTTGTTAAAGTCCTGCTGTTGTCAGCAGTGTTCTTTAAATGAATTTGTGACTTGTACCGGTGTAGTAAGGTCACACCTGTACAATGACTATTTTTTTATAAGTGCGTATTTGACCTTCATCGTGACCTCGACGGAGCATGCACACACAAACAATGTCTATTCACTCTCGCCATCAAAAGGCCTAACTTATACCGTTCAGGGTATAAGTCTGCAAGCAAGGAATTCCACTTCACAGCCGTTCGCCATTTAAATGTGGAACCGTAAAGCTTCGTGCGAATTTTGCCTACGTCTAGTCCCTGGATAATGGAAAAAGGAAGGCGGAATTCAAACTTGCAATTTAGTTGCACACTAGCGGATTATTTTACGGTGGTATTCAAGACAGGCTTCGCGTCTACTAAATCATAAGCCCCTTGATATGCTTTTTAACTGAATCCAAGTTGGCTAATTGGTATTTAGCAGAGCCACTCCATGACTTATAGCAGGACTCCATCCCATACACGACTGGTTTTGTGCTTGTTACAATTGAAACAACTAACCTGCTATCAAGGAGAGTGGTTTAAAGATTCTACGAATGAAATTAGTCGGTAACATTCTATTCTATAAAATTTCACTTATAAGTAATTTGTTTCATATAGTTCGTAATATTTTTATGATTTTCATGTGACACAAGCACTTTTGACCCATTATCACATGTATTTTCATTGTACCATACATGGGGACGAATTATTAGTATTTGATTTAAGATTTCTAAAATATCGTAATTTAAAAGGATGAGGATAGGAAAGGAGGACATTTGACTTTCAAAAGCATTTAGTTTTGACAAAACTTTTAACAGCTGGTAAAATATTGAGCCAATAAAAATACGTGGAACTGTAGTCTAGTTTATTCAAGTAACATTTTATTACTTCTGAACTTGTCTCATCTGTTGCATTACCCTGTAATTTAAGGTACCTAATAAAAATTTATTCTGCTATTAATCAAAATAGGCACGTAAGTGGTCACAAAAATTACAATTATTCTCATTGCTATTTCGGAACAAAGCCAACGTGTGTGGATAAAGCTTAGTCATTCCAGACTAAATGGCGACACATTAATGGGCTATTTAACTATTAAAACGGTAATCGTGTAATCATTCTACGTCCAAACATGTCAGAAGTGATATTAATTGAAAACTTGCTGCTGTATATATTGACAAACATAGATGTTTTAACCATTTTGGAGTGGTGCCAAAAGAAATTACTGCTATATGAAAATTAAATTATCTTGGAAACTTTTAGATGTCTTTTGCATGTATTGAAATGTCCTTTGCATTCTGTTCAAATTAGATTTCTTGTTGAAATCGGTGGGAGAACGATTGCTTATCAATTGAGATAAACACGTTCGTATACCTTTAATTTCTAAAGGTGTCTACAGATTTGCATTTATTTTTGACGATCGTTATTGTCACTCAATATGATGTGTTTTGACCATCAATAGGTGCCTACAGACTTGCTCGGTTTTTGACCATCGTTATTGGCGCTCGATGTGCTGTTTTGATGATGAATACCATCAATCAGCTAACAGATCTGCTCCATTTTATCGATTGTTACTGCCGCCTGATAGCGATCGATAAATATAATTTATTGTTAGATTTATTTCATTATCGAACAAATTTGTAAGTAGGCGCCTACGCCTAATTCCCATTCTAGTGTTGATTGACAAAAAACGCGCTGTTGATCGTTTGTTGCTCACATCTGTTCGTTGTGTTCGATCACACGCATCTACCGTCAAAAATTTGAGTAAACCTGTAGGCACCTTAAGTTATGTACGTATATTTGCTTAGTAATAATAGATCTCAATAACAGTGAAGAACTATAATATGATTAAACCTGTACGTCAAAGAAAGCTCGCAGCCCTTGGGAAAAGTGTGAAGTTCCGAACCTGTACTGGGTCAGCGTGGCGCCTTTAGCCTAAATAAATCCTCTCCTTAGAAGGGACTACTGTTTGGCATATTACTGGCATATTTGACGAGTCCAAGCAGTGGGATTTATAATGGGTTGACGACGACGAGGATATGTTCTTAAATATTTCTAACCGCGAAAATAATCCTAAATTTATTTTGTAGTGCTCGAATTGTTGTAATTGTAAATCAAATTACTCAACTGTCAAAGCTAGCCATTATAACTTCATCAAAAGTTCCAATAATGAAATGAGCCTCTGTAAGTTTAGTACAGTGGCAAAAGCACCAGATGACGGAACATCAGTAGAGTTTGTTGACAGAGTCTTAAAGACAGGCGTAAACAGTCTCGAGATCTGAGACTATGATTGATGCGTTGTTTATGAAAGGCTGTCCTGTTTCTTATATGGGATAAAATAAAGGAAGTAGGTAATTAAATTCACATATTAACTCCTCTCTCTTTTCCTTACCCCAGATTATTGATGGCTTTCGAATATTAGAAAAGCTTAGATCCAAAAGTATGCACTTATGCTTTGTTTAAGATTCGCACTGGTAATAAAATGAAAGATTGATTCGTGCAACATTTTGCGTAATCAGAATCAATGTTCATACATTTTTTGATTATAAGAAACATGAGTATAAGAGTACTAAGATTTATAAAGATTACTTATATTGTTATGCTTCAACAAAATGTTACAGCTGAAATATTGCTAATATACTATATCTACCACTATATATAGTATACTATATCTACTATGTGGTATATATATATCTATATTGTGTATTGCTGTGCTTAATTTCTTATTTGTTGTACAATACGTTGGGGTAATAAATTATTTTGGGTTCATTCGCTCCCGAATTTATTTATTTGTGTGAAGGGATGTGGACGTGTATTCATTTGTTCTTCAACTACAACATTTACCTCTTACCATTTACCTACAACATTTGGTTTTAAATCCTTTTCGGGGTCTATATTACAATTGGTTCGAGTAGCAGATCATTTGTTTTTGATATTTTAAAATACTTACTTAACTTTAAAATGCTTACCACCCGTGAGATTGTTCATGTAAAATTTTTCATGATTACTTGTTGACGTGCTTTTCAAAAAACGGAGATTTGGCGTTTTTCTTATTAAACTAAATATTTTAAATTAGCTTTAAATTACTAAATTAATACAATTTTATGGTTTATAGTTCATTTATTAACTTATAACAAAATTCAAAAGTTTTCTTCATTTTTCTGTTCGTGTGTTCTACTTAAACAATTGCAACACTAAATTAATTTCATTAATCTAATTTTATCCGAACTTGTTCTCCAGTCTTGGGTTTAAATAATGTTGTATCGTTATTTATTTGCCAGTGGCGTCGATGCCTACGATATTCGGTTTTCCATTAATTATCCTTTGTGTTGATACCTGTCTATGCATCATATAAATTTAAACGTGAGGCGCACTATAAGTTTCGGCAATGAATAAGAAAAAAATACTATAAATGGTCAGAAATGAATTTATTGTTTCTTAAAATATTCTCCATTAGCGTTAATGCATTTTTTTCATACGAATGAACCAATTTTAAAAACATTTATGCCACTCCTCCGTGACAATCTCTGAAACATATTTTTCATACTCTTCGATAGCCTCTTCAGGTGATGAAAATCGTCGACCGCGTAACTGGTTCTTAATTTTTGGAAATAAATAAAAGTCACAAGGTGCCAGGTCGGGAGTGTACGCGGGATGGCTCATGAGTTCAACGTTGTTCACCTTCAAAAATTCATTTGTCTGTCTGGCCGTGTGAGAACTGGCGTTTATGGTTATTTTTACAGAGTTTGTCAATAACTTCCGGCAAACAAACGGTTGTGTACCAATCACTATTCACGGTACAATGATTCTCCAAAGCAAAAGTAGCCCCGTATCCAGTTATATAAAAAAAGAAGCAATCATCCGCTTAGAGGCACTTTGCACGCACGCCACTTTGGTTGGTTTCGGCTCATCTCGAAAGACTCATACGCTCGGTTGCCGCTTTGTTTTGGGATTGTAACTATAAATCGATGTTTCGTCACCTGTTACTATGTTCCACACCAAATTTGACGCCCCTTCATTGAATCTGGTAAGTATGGCATTGCACCAAGTGACGCGATCCGTTTTTTGAGCCTCAGTCATATTGTGTGGGATCCATCGAGAGTACAGCTTTGTTACACCCAAATGTTTGTGTATTATTGATTATATGTGACTTATGCCTATGCCTAAAGATGCCCGAATGTTAAGATATGTCACATGCCTGTCTGTTTTGATTATACGGCGCATAGCATCAATGTTTTTGTTGTTCACAGCAGTGGACGGGCGACCATCACGAAATTCGTCACTGAGATTCATACGACCGCGTTTGAATTCTGCAAACCAACTATAAATAGTCGTCTTGCATTGTACTTCATCGCCAATAGCAGATTGAAGCCGAGCGAAGCTCCACTGAGCTGTTAAATCAGTGCCTCCAGTGAAAAAGGGAATAACTCAAAATTGACAATTTTCAGGAGCAAAAAAACCATTAATTTATTGATTATTGGTTGATCACATTTATTATTAGTACTTTTTATGGTTTCTAGTTTTAGAT